ACTCCAAGATGAAGAACACTTGTTTATGGCTGCTCAAACAAGTAGTTCAGGTTCAAATGATGTATGGTATGTTGATAGTGGGTGCACAAACCACATGGCGAGGGACTCAAGTCTTTTTACTACTTTGGATAGGGCTGTCCAAACCAAAGTTAAGCTTGGAAATGGAGATATTGTACAAGCTGAAGGAAGAGGTACAGTTTCTGTTCACACTAGCAAAGGTCCTAAATTTATTCATGATGTTTTATTTATTCCTGATTTGGATCAGAATTTGCTAAGTGTTGCTCAACTAATGAAGAGAGGATATTCTCTTTCATTTAAAAACAATGGTTGTATCATATTGGATTCAAATGATTCTGAAGTTATTAAGGTTGAAATGTGTGATAATAGCTTTCCAATCAGTTTGAATCAAGTGAATGAATCAGCTCTTGTTTCCAAACATGATGATTCTGTTTTATGGCACAAAAGATATGGTCACTTTAATATGGGTGCTTTGAAATTTTTGCAAACTCATGATATGGTGAGAGACATGCCTATGATGGGTATTATTGATGATTTATGTGATGCTTGTCAATTGGGAAAAATGCATAGAAAGTCTTTTTCATCAACAAATGTCACACGAGCAAAGGAAAAATTGGAGCTTATTCACACTGATTTGTGTGGTCCAATGAGTGTTCCTTCTCTTAGCCAAAGCAAATATTTTCTTCTGTTTATTGATGATTTGACAAGAATGACATGGGTGTATTTTTTATCAAGCAAAGCTCAAACTTTTGATGTCTTTAAAAAGTTTAGAGCCATGGTGGAGTCTCAAAGTGGCTGCAAAATTAAAATGTTGAGATCCGACAATGGGAAGGAGTATACATCTAATGAGTTTAATGCATTTTGTGAAGATATGGGCATTGTTCATCAATTGACAGTAAGTTATACTCCTGAACAAAATGGAGTTTCTGAGAGAAAAAATAGAACAGTTATGGAGATGGCAAGATGTTTAATTGCTGAAAAGAAATTGCCAAAATGTTTTTGGGCTGAAGCTGTTTATACAGCCGTGTATCTTTTGAATAGGCTGCCAACAAGAGCTGTTCAAGAGAAAACACCAATTGAAGCTTGGAATGGAGTGAAGCCCACTGCCAAACACTTGAAGATTTTTGGATCTATTTGTTATACTCATGTTGCAGTAGCAAAAAGATCCAAATTAGATGACAAGGCTGAAATGGAGATTTTTTTAGGCTATGCTGCAAACTCCAAAGGTTACCGGGTCTACAATATGAGGTCAAAACAGATTGTGATCAGCAGGGATATTCAAATTGATGAGAATGCATACTGGAATTGGGAAAATATTTTACAGAACACGACCAATTTCCAAATAATATTACAAAATTATGTTAGGGTGAAACTCAAGAAAATTAGAATAATATCATTTAGCTGAAAAAAAAAACCATAACAGCTTGAGATATGGACAATATTTTGGACTGGTTTATAGACATAAGAGTTTAAAAACATTGGTTATAATTGACCAAAAAATGACATTGGTTGGACATTGGATCACTACAGCAGTAATTGGGTTATGAGATTTCTCTATGTAGCCTTTATCCTAATGTACGTCTGTTTCATTGTTTCCACCCACCTTCATTGGTTTCTTCGCAGGAGGGGAATGGATATCCTCTCACATAAAATTTTCACAAAATTTTATTATATGGAAAAATTGTGCCTATTTCTTTTTTCATAGACATTTACAAATTTTGAAAATACCCCACCTATTCGATGTATATGAAGAGAGAGAGAACTAGGTACAAAATTTTATATGATAAGATAATATGAACTCACATGATAAAATCCACACCCTTGTAGAAGAAAGATATTTGTGAGGGGGAGACCACAGAAGATGCTGCACTGCACCTATGAATTAGCATCTTTTCAAGAGATGCACGTCATTCCTTCTTGGCATCAAGTTGAAGTTATTTTGTGCTCTTGTGGCAAGAAGAATAGTCTCTAGAACTATTAAATCATAACACGATATCTAAGTCCCTATTATCGAGTACTTTAGCTTTTGATCCTTGTCATCTTTATTCTTCTAATAAAACAGTTGAATTTCAACCGTAAGGTGAGTGAGCTTTGGCATTATTCATGTTTCAAGTCTAGAGGGATCTTTCATTCTTTTGTGATGAGATGTGTTCAAGATATAATATAAAATTACTAAGGTTCTAAATCAATTACGGTTCTAAATTATATTAGACATGATATTTGAATAGGTTAAAAGGTTATTAGGTTATAATCAAGTGGTTTTAATTATCACAATTTTTTAACGAATCTATTTATAAAATTTAAAACATGAATTATGGTGTTGACATTTTAACTACTTGATTGACATTCATTGTTATATGAACATTTTTTCATTTGTGCCAAGTCTTGTTTCAATCCTTCACTTCCTTTTTAGGAGTCTACCTACATCTCCTTCGGTCGATCCTTAATTTTTTCTTCTTCATGTAATGTTTACTATCATTGTGGTGCTTTAATCACTCAATTCAATGAATGTTGATTTTCCTAAGAGCATCTCTACCTGTTGTATGTTTGGTTTCGGGTTAGAAACTTGAAAAATTCTGTTAAACGGAAAAAAATTAAAAAAAAAGTTACTTCCTTGTTTAATATGGTAGAGTTGCTTAACTCACTTTTAGTGGGATCTTACAATGCACTTAGGAATTTTAACAAGTTTTGTCTTCAAAATTTGTAATCTGGGATGCAATGAGACTCCATGAAGTAAGTAGTAGTGTACACTTATCTCTGTCTTGTCAAATAAAAATATGTTCTCTATGTGTTACATGCATGTAGGTATCAATTAAGCAGTTATTTACAAATTTTATAAATATATGTGATATCCATGAATAATTTGTGAATTATTTAAAATATTAAAATATTAAGAGAAAATTATTATAAATAAATTTGAGCTTGTATTTGACATTAATTCTATTGAATATCAATGATAAATAATTAACATTAAATTAAACTTATGTTTAACGTTAATTTTATTAAAATATTAAAAATAATATAAAAACATAAGATAAATATATGAATATTTAAATAATTTTATATATTAGATTTCTTTAGATAAGGGTGAGTAAAACAAACCTTCTTCATTATTTATTTGGACAGTCTTAAAATTATACTTGATATAATTTTTACCAATTTCCAAATAATATTACAAAATTATGTTAGGGTGAAACTCAAGAAAATTAGAATAATATCATTTAGCTGAAAAAAAAAACCATAACAGCTTGAGATATGGACAATATTTTGGACTGGTTTATAGACATAAGAGTTTAAAAACATTGGTTATAATTGACCAAAAAATATGTTTTATGCTTCCGCTGCCCATTGCTTGTCTTAACAATTACAAATCCGATTGAGATGTGTTAAGTTACCATAACTTTGATATCTCAAAGTCAGAGGATCCGGATCCAAATGTAGGATAGGACTAAGACTTGTACGGATACCTTACACCAGTACAATCTTGAAACATTAGAATATCCTTCCTTATCTAACAAAACACTCCAATAGAAGTTTATAGCATGGTTTGACATGGTCTCTAACGTTATTTTTTGTCTTTTGAAGTACAACCATCATCCATCCTATCAACTTCAACCTCTATTGTTTGCAGTTGACTAGTCATTCAAACCCCTTACAAAGTTGCTTCAGTAATAAGGTGACAAGTTGGAAATATTTTTAGTGTACCAGATAGTTCCATTAACCTTCAATCAGAGAGCGAAAGAGGAGCGATCTTAAGTTAGTTATTATATATTAAAAAAAGAACATGGCAACAATTACAAATTTCCACGTCTAAGGATGAAATTGAAATATAATAATGAAAAATTAGAGAATACTTATGTAATTTAAATCATCACAATGATTTCGTGACATCTGAATCAATTGTATAATAAGTGAAATGTGAATGAAATATCAAAATAAGAACAGACCGTGTTCCTTCAAAATGTCTTGATCGTCTATAAATCAAGGAAACACTGAAGTCCCTCCCAAAAATTGATAAACGAATCTTCCATTTTAAAATTCTAAATTAGTTATACAATGACAAATGTTGTGGATAGTTAAACTGATTGACAGGACAACTAAATCACGTGATAGAAGTGTGGGAAAAAGCAATGAAGCATATCTGTATGTCTATGTTTCTAAATCTAATTATGCTATATAGAAACTGTTTAATCACGTGGACCAATTATATTTCCAAAAGACAACAAATTAAATGAAATACTAAAATAGCTCTCTTGAGACATAGCAGACCATTTCGATCAAAAGACACGATTGAATGACCTAAATTTCCCGATAGTTGCTGCATTATGGATTATTTCCCTTTTCTCTTGATTTGCACATCTTGAAGCATATATTATAACCCTACAGTGGTACTTTCCCTATTTTATCTCTAATGGAATTCATATTTGAATCTAAAAATAAAATGGGATTTACAGGAAAACACCATAATGAAAGCTAAAGACCAAACTCTGCTAGACTCTATGAAGGAACAAACGTAATCAAGAAAGCCAAGGGTCTGTTTGGTTCCAATTTTTTTTGTCTGTGTTTCACACTTTTACTTTACTTACTAAAACTATTAAAAAAATGACTTCAAAAGAATGGTTTGCAAATTAATAATAAGTGGTAATGATGTCATGCATATATTTTAATGTCTAATAGTGATTAACTTAACTCATAAGTGGTAAATAGTGTCATGAGGTTATTGACCATCCTAATATGACTAACTTTGTCTCAAGTACCTAAGACCAAATGAACTAGATAATATACCGTTGTGATGTTTTATAGTAGTTAAGTTTGTCTTCTAAGTAATTAATAGTGTGAAGTTAGTAGTTAGCTATGAGAAAAGAATGCTAGCAAGCATCTGCAAGCCTTTGTAAGTCCATGAAGTGCCCAACAAAAAGGTCCCTAAGAATTCCCTACCGCATAAAAGACCCTCTTCACAATAGCACAGTGGATCTGCATGATTAAAATTACCATGGGACATACCTTACAAATATGTATGAGGCCTGCACATCTTCATCTAATTATATAATGCCTTACATTTGATTCTGTCGTATAACATATACAGTTTTATAATTGGTTAACTAGCTAATAGTAATATGGTTCTTTAAAGAAAATAACATAGATGATGCAACATATGGAAAAAATAATGATAAAAACATCAATAGTGATGGCAGAAACTGCCTGATCACTAAGCTTCATATTCTTCCCACCAAGGCGGTCAACCATGTCTGGAACAGATTCCCAATTCTTCAGTTCTTGCTCCCTTGGATCCTCCAATTTCATTTTCATCTTCTCAGCGTGGCGGCTTGCAGCCTCTTGAAGAAGGGTCCAATCATAAAATTTTCGACTCTCTTCGTTGCTAAGAACGTTGTAAACCTCTCTTAATTTCATGAATTTTTCTGATGCGGTTTTGAGAGGGAGGGAAGTTGTGTCTGGATGATATTCCTTTGATAGCTTCCGATAAGCAACTTTAATTTCTTCTAAATTCGCATCCGGTGATACTCCTAAGAATCTGGTATTTGCATTGAGTGAGGAGAATTTAGCAGAAGAGATAATAAGTGAAGTTAGTTATAGAGTAGAGTGACTGACTCATAATGAGAACCCAAAGAAGTGGTGAGCAAATCAGGAAAGTCATCAGCCAACATGTTGTTATCGGTCTGTTGTTGCTGCTTCTGCTTGGTACCCTTATCTCCAACCCAACCTTCATCTTCATTGTCCCAATGGATTCTGGTGTCAACTCCAGGGGGTGGTCTCTGGGGTCTGCGAGAGGCGTGGACTTGTAAACCATTAGTGGATGCTGTCCTCAAAAACTTTGCTTGTGGGTAAGTGTGATTTCCAAACATGAGATTGGACATTAGAAGCTGGGGTGGAGCTGCTGTAGAAGCCATTGGAGAACAGATCATATCACAACACGTTTCGTTTGTGGTCTACGTTCTCTCTTCCACTTTCACCTAAAATAACATTATTAATAATATAAAAAAATACCCTTTAGCCCCTCAACACAACACTGCCTCTCTCTCTCTCTCTCTCTCTGTTCCACACAAAATCATTGACATCAACTCCTCAACCCTCATCACGCAGTCCGCCTCCGTCTTCTCCTTCCTCAATCCTCATCCATTTCATTTTAACTCAATGTCACACTTTTTGTAAATTTTCGGCTTTTCTCACTTTTCCCCACGCTCAAAACCCTTCCTTTATCCACCCACCAAACGGGCACGGTTGATACCCTCTGCACCCATCTCCACCAAAGCAATGGCAGTTTTGAGAATTCATTGTCTAAGGTTAAGCCAAAACTCGACTCTCAATGTGTCATCCAAGTCCTCAACTCGAGCCATCCAGAACAACCTCAATTGGGTCTCAGGCTTTTCCTTTGGGCTGGATTTCAATCGGGCTACAGGCACAGTGCTTACATGTACACGAAAGCTTGCAACTTGCTTGGAGTTCGTCACATTCCCCACATTATTCGTGATGTCATTCGCTCTTATGAGGCTGAAGGATGTTTAGTCACTGTCAACATGTTTAGGGAGGTGTTGAAGCTGTGTAAAGAAGCTCAGCTTGCTGATGTGGCTTTGTGGGTGTTGAGGAAGATGCAATACAGTTTCAACCTCCATGCTGACACTGTGATGTATAATGTGGTTTATAAGGTTATGTTGCAAGAAGGGTGACATTCAAGTGGCGGAGAAGTTGATGAGCGAGATGAGTTCTAATGGTCTTTGTCCTGATCTTATTACCTATATGGCAATAGTTGAGGGATTATGCCATGCAGGTCGATCTGAGGATGCTTACTCTGTAAGGTTATGAGAGTACATGGATGTTCGCCCAATTTGGTGATTTTATCTGCCATTTTAGACCCCTTCACATCCTAATTCTACGACAGTTTTTCCTCAACTTTATTGTCCTCCATCTGTCTATGGCGGTCCAATTTCCAGCTTTTGACATTTTGGAAGTCACACGTCTTTTAAAACTTTCATATTTTAGAAATTTAAATGAAATCTAGAAATTCTTGATTCTATTCATTTGGATAGAAGATCATTAACAGTAGAAAACTTAGATTTGCTCCAGTTTGGAAATGTTACCCTACAAGTCAGTTTTTGTTTTGAAAAGAAGCACCTCAAAGATTAATAATTTCTTATTTATACACGTTGAATTAACAAGTTTTGTTATATTTAGATTGAATTATACAATTTTCTCATTGACTAGTTGCTTTATGTATTTGAAACTATCAGAACCATCAAACTGAACAGTGTCTACTGTCGTGATGCAGACTGATTGGCATTAAACCTAACAAGAATAATTAAATACACAATCAATAAGCACTGTGTTACAAGTAAATGTACATTGTTCTAAGTTCAAGCCTAATAGTATCTAATATTAAGCTTGAAGTGTAGTCAAAGATTGTTGAGCACAGAGTACAGACAAGAAAACAATAGTCATGATTTCCAGTGGCAGGAGAGAGATGGATCCACCACAATTTCCAGCCAAACCTTGTCAATATGGCCCATGTTCACTTGAGCCCATAATGTTGTAAGCAGTTGTTCCTGGAGGCCACTTTTTCTTTCGCATTGTAAAAATTTTACTCTGGGGACCAATGTCAACTTGCAAGGGAGGACAGATCAGTAATTTGGAGTGAAGCTAAAAAAAAATACCAAAGGGTGTCACACTGTTCCCTGAATGTTTAAATTCTATTTTATGATGATGTGGTTTAAATGTTTTGGCAAAAGTTATATAGTAGGGAACGATTTATGCAACCTTTGATACAGTTGGCTGTACAACACACCATGATCTTTTACTTGAACAGTTCCGTGTGCATATATCATCCAAGTGCTGAATTGAAATAGAAATAGAAAGTCAACTTTGACTGTATAAGATTATTATTGTATACCACAGCCGAAATCTTCCTCCAAATCTTTATATCATGGTCTAATTTTCTTCCGAGCCTAATTAGACGTGCAAAATCTTATATTGGAAAGAAAACATGCTGCACTGGAGCATTTAACTTAACCGCTCGAAATTTTGGTAATGAAAATCATAGTGACCAAAGTATGCTCACGTTTCCGCCTGCCGAGATGCCTGAGTGACCCGAGTTTCTTGAATGGTCAGAACCTCTCATTTGGTCATTTTCCTATTGGCAAACATTTGCACTTTAGGTCACCACTAACCCCATTTGTATGTTTACTTGGGACGTTGTGATTTGTTAAAGCTTTAGAAAGAGATGAACTATGCTGATTAACAAACCAACCTCAGTGCATTTGAATCTGATCTGTAAAGTAGAGAATTAGAGCTGTTACTATTTTATGACCAAATATAATTCTAAACTTAGTTAATTTTCTGTAATTAGCAATACCCATATTAGTCGAATGATGTTATGTGATACATGTAGCAGACCTCACCTACCCAAGTGGTGTAGGGTAAGGCTTTTGTTGTTGTTGTTAGCAATAACCATGTTATAGTTGGTTTAAATTATGATTCGTGAAGGAAATTTCTTTAAAAGTTTATTAAGTGCATATCTTGGATCTACTATATTCAAAAGTAACTGAAAACAAAAGTATCGATTCATTCCTACTAACTATTCTTCATTGTTTGAGAATTCTGTTATCCGTTTGGAGGCATATTACCACTGTAGACAGTCCCACATTCTTTGTTCGCATTTGATGCCTTTGTTTGTTTTGTTTACAGATGATTCTCATTTTATACTCTTAATTTTGTAGGTACCTTACAATGACCTCTACAAACAAGGCCAACGGTTGGTGTGGAGGTAGTACTTTAACGTGAATAACGATCATGCTTACACTACTTTGAATCTTGACTTGTTGTATGAAGTGCTAACCGTTGCTTGTGTCAAACAAAGCGATGTAATAGAGGTACGGACCTCTACTTAACTTCAACTACCTGCTGGGTAGTGAAGTTATTGTATACTGTACAGTCACATGAAAGTTCTTTTAAGAATTCCCTTTTTATTTGGTATTGAAAATAAATTTATATAATCCCGCCTCCCAATCTTCCAAAAAACAGAGTTGTGATGGATCTTCTTGGTGTTGTGGACCGGTGGTATCCAAGGTCTGACTATTGTCAAGTTCTAGTTGTGTAACCCAATATGCAAGAAATATATAAAGTAAAACAAATATATATGAAATAAAGCAGATAAAATAACATCTAGGATGTCTTGTGTTATTCTTGTAAATGTGCATATGCAGGGACCAGCCTTGGAACTTTTCCGAAATGACCCCGAGAGGAAGCAACACTATGCAGGTGCTTTAAGCACAAGTTCATATGAAATCGTTAATGATGCTGCTGTTGCTGCTGAAATGGAAGCAGCTCTAAAGGAGTATGACCAAGTCGGTGCTGACATTGGGATCATTCCCATGTCTTGTAAATTCTTTGTCTGTCTGACGAGATGATTAACTGGGAAAAAAAAAGTACCGAGGTTATGATGGGTCATTGTTTTGGCATGAATAATTTAAACATATCTTTCTGTACAATTTTGACTCGTTGATTCTTATACAATAGTCATTGTCAATATTAATATCAATCGTCGGGCTATAGATTTTATTTATTTATTTATTTATTTAATTTAAGTACATTTTGTTCTCTATAGTTTGTGTAGATTAGTTCCTACAATAAAAGTGTAGTTTTCGGTCCTATAATTTCATAGGTTTAGGTTTTATTTCCTATACTTTTCACTCTATTTAGATTCTTTTTTCTTTCAATTTTATTCTATTTAAGTTTTGATCTATGGTATAGACATTGGTTCTAATGATTTGCCTACACCTAGTCTTTGAAGGGTAAATGTTTTGGCATGTTATTTATAGTATGGATTAAAACCAAAATATTTAAAATTTCAAGTACTAAAAATAAAATTTTTTAGAGATCAAAATTAGAATATTACACCACTAAACTAATAATATTGAATTTTTTATGCCAAAAAATCTGAAGGAAGCATATATTAGATATTGTTTCATTTTTATTTATTTATTTTTGTTTAATTGATTTTTTATTAATAATTATAAAAATTATGTTGCTTCTAAGATGTATGATAAAAATGATTAAAATAGTATTTCTGTTGTTTTACAATTAAAAGGAATGCTAGTAACTCGAGGTAATCAAATATACATTTATGATATATATTTTCTGCTTTTAAATAAAGACAATCTTGAATATATTCCTTCGATACTAGGATTACATCACTACATATGGAGAAGGAAATGAGAGAGGGTTGATAGGAAATGAGAGAGGGTTGATAGGAAAGCATGAGACAACCAACATTAACACATATTCTTGGGTTTGGTTTCAAAATTGCCAATACCAATTTTTGTTTATGATAAAAAATGTAAGTAGAGTATCATAGGTATTATTGATGTTGTTCCCTAATTAAAAATAGAGTTTTATCTTAATAATATACATTTATATTTAATGTAGACATCGATAGTATACACTTACATAAACTGAGATGAAACTTTAATTATGATTGGATAATAGTATTAACATTACCTTATATCTAAGTTCTGTCTTTTTATTAAAGACAAGGTAGTAAGAATGAAGTTTTTCCTTTAGTATAAAACATACTAATAAAATTGAACTTTGCAGGGAGTGGCTAATCGTGGTTGCTCAATCCGTGTGGGAAGAGACATAGACAAGAACCACAAAGGTAAGTCATCAACAATAATTTTAATCTTGACTCAAACAGGATTATCTTCTTTTGAGGATACATGTGGTCTATATAAAAAAAAAATACTACCAAATTAATACCAATATCTAAAATTCTCGAGCATTACCATATTCATTATTAACCTTTTCAATCCTCTAGATCATATGTTACTTGGAAGATAGGCGTCCAACTTCAAACATGGATCCATATGTTGTGACATCATTACTTGCGAAAACTACACTATTGTGGGAGCCAACTCTGGAGGCTGAAGCTCTTGTAGCTCAAAAGTTAGTATTAAAGGTCTAAATCCATTTATGGATGGAAGCAGTAGTTTGTGAGGAGCTGGAGAGCTCTTTCACTTTCCTTTTAGATTACCTATATTTATGATCATGTTTGGACTAAAGAGGTTGCCATCTCCGGTTATTGGTTTTCATTGATGCTTAATTATTCAATGTCCCCTTGATTTTTCTTTTCCTATAAATAATTGAGCTTTCATTTTTTGTCAAGAGAAATATCTAAGCTTATTTATATAGCTCAAAATTGCAGCATTCAAATTTTCACTTTACAATTTCTTTTAGGGTGGAAATGGAACTAAATTCACTTATGAACAATCAATATTAACAAGGTATGCTAGATTCCTTGAGAAAAATGTTTTACCAAACCACCATAATATATAAAAGATCAATGAAAGATAAGAGAAAACCTTAGGATAGAAATGAACACAATACTTGTAACGAGCATAAGGCTAAGGAGGGGAACCATCCCTCAAAAGCCGGCCCAAGAGGTTGGAGAACCTCCCGCCTTATAAGGACTCCTTGGTGAGGAGACCTCCCCGATGTGGGACTTGTTACAATACTGCAAAATTGCATTGAATGAAAAATCTTCATTTGCTATATAACACAAATATTTTTCTATTGAGATAGTGAGTTTGATCCAAGATTTTTTCTTCTACAAAACTTGTCATCACCTATTGAGAAGGGGATTGTGCTAAATTTGATAATATGTCGTTGTGATACCATAATCTATATAATTAAAATGAAGTGTTAATGTAAAGTATTTAACACAATGTTGACTTATGAGTAAAATAATGTTATAATTGTTCAAAGGAGAAGCTAAATATAGCCGTTGCATTGCATTCTTTTTTAATTTAAAATTTCGTAATTGTTTTATTAAATAAAATAGATTTATTTAAATGAGTTATAGAAATATATATTATTTAGTGTTATTAAGGGAAAACATTAATGATAACTCTTGTGAAGTTATTCTAAGAAATAAAAATACTAAATATAAATTATTAAATCATATTTTCAGCTATCCAATATGAAAGATAAGTGCATATATTTTTTTTAAGTAGTTAAATGATCATTTACTAATTTTTAATTTTTATTATTTACGTGTAGTTTGTTTTTGTGGAATTATTTATGCGTATTTACATGATTGAAATTTATAGTTTTCATCTTTTATGATAATAAAAATTTATATTACGTATTTTTGTTATTAATATTTAAGAATAAAAGCAAATCTATTAATATTAACACTATCTCTATATATATCATAATTAACCACTATTTGGTGTGATAATATTTTTAGAAAGTTTTAGAAGAGTATTTTTAAATATTTTTCTTTGATGAGAGAGTTTTTAGGTATAATTTTAACACATTATCTAATTTGAATTTGAATTTATTATATTTATTTAAAATTTAAAATTTTAATATTTTAAATAAATTATTAATATATCATAATATAAATTATTTATCATAAATAAAAAATAATTGTTATATATAAAATAAAGTTTAATGACATGTAATAAATATTTAGGGGGTGGATTATAAATGTTAGAACTAGTTATTAAAAATCTTAGTTAATTAATATGTGTACCTTAAAAAAGTGAAATAGTGGTTTGATGAAAATCTGAAGAATCAGAGCGTCCAATCTTGGTTTTCATTGCAGGGTTATGTGATAGTAGCGATGAACCAATAGTAGCAATAGCACTACTATCCATTGTTATCAATTTGTCCACCATTCTGATTCTAATATGATTACAGTCAACTCCACAGAGATTGGAGTATAGTTACAGTTACTGAGAGGCAATTCTGAACCGAATTGCCTCTCACTCAACCCACCCATGAATTGTATCCATGCCGTCGCTCTTCCACCGCCAAGTTCCGCGCTTTTCCCAAAACGCCCTTTCGCAGTCCTCACGCCGAACCAAACCCTTTTGGCGAGAAACGCGAGGCTCGGAATCAGAGTGAGAGTGAGAGTGAGAGCTTCAAAGGGTGAAGCAGCGAATTGGTCCCGGTGGATCCCCGCAGGGTCTTTTGCCGCCGATAATGTTTTCAGGTTGATCGCGGGTGCCACTGCTAGTCCCATTGGCCAGTTTGTTGCGTCCCCCACCACGTTTCTTCACTCCATCGATCCTCGAGTCAAATTGGTCAGTCGATTCATTTCTGCTTTTATCTATGCTCTGCGCAGAATTTTTATAGTTAGGTGTTATGCTGTCGTTGGACTGTGGACTGGAGTGCTTTGGTTTTAGCTTTGCACTTTGCTGTATTTTTCTATAAGAATGTGAGACCCACACTTTTTTGTGATTTAGGGATTAGTGTTATTGTGATTTCCAATACATTTCAATCAATAAGAAGGGGAGTGTTCAAAAAAGTGTATATGATACTAGTGTGCCATACTCATTTCTCTATCCAATAGGAATCAGGAATTTAAAAAAAAAAAAAAAAAAAAAAAAAAAAAAAAAAAAAAAAAAAAAAAAAAAAAAAAAAAAAAACTAACTTGTGATGGTTCTTATCATCATCATTTTGAAGATTACAATGTGTGAGCTGAGAAGGTCAACTGAGAGTGTTGTTCCATGTATTTGGATCCTCTCATGTGAACAAAAGAGAACAAATTTAAATAATACCGAAAGAAGGTATGAAGTTTTTGATGGAGGAAATTTTCACTGAAGAAAATTCAAGTGAAAATTCGACATGGGAGAATCCATCCCCGTTATTTCACATATTGCAAATGTTTAATTTTGTTCAAGAGACCCAAGATTTGTTGACTACTGTTGATTGTAGTTTGTGCTATCTGTTATATTTTATGATAGTCATTGATAAAGGAAATACAAAAATGAACCAGTAATCTAAACATAAGAATAAATAATCGGGCGAGCCAGTTTGTTTGTTTTGCAATTCTAAACCATCATTTATTTCTTGATTGGCTTAGGAATTGGACTGCTGTGATCATTTTCCTGGTAGTGGAGTTGTTTTAGCTACATGTTTGCTTTGATTTCTTTCATTCATGGTGCTTAATTTCAGAGTTCTTGTCAAATATAAATTGTGGATGGATATTGCAGCAATTGTTGGTGGATTCATTTGTCTAGTTGGATTGTTTGATTATTCTTTTTGGCTGCTTGGTTTATGTGTGTGATGTTTTGTGATCAATCAGTCTGATTTTACAGGTATGGCTTTTAGCTCTGGTTGTTCTACCAGCGAGGTCACACATAATTATGCGATTTGGATTAGTGATATACCTGACTTTGCTTTCAATTTGGATTCTACCAAGAAATGCTTGGATGGTAAAAAATTGTTAATCCTTGACTTATCTAGCACAAGAAGTGGGAACATATACATATTCATATATGGATGGATTGCTCACATTGCTTAAATATATTTGGTTGTTGATCATTAATTTAAGGGGCTTGTTGGGGTTTAATAGTCCAAGTGTGTTTAACCTGTCACTTAATTTTGCATTGTGTTTCATTCACTTGTTAATCATCATGTTAACTTCTTTTTCCTCTCCCCTCTTTTCACAATTCAGAACATGGCATTTCTAATTCTTATGCTTATTTATGATTTGAGCTAGCTTGAACCTTATCATAAATGTTTACCTTATCCATTAATGCTTATTTATTCAGTTATTTTTATCTTGAAGTGATGTGTTAATTTGGGAAATTTCCTGATAATTTCATTTGTAGGATCAATTGGGAAGAGTTTATTTGCTATCTGGATTATTATTCATAACATTAGGGCTGGGTGCAGATGGTGTGCCAGCGCTTGTTCAGTTGAGAACACCACCACCTGCAATGATGGGGCTTCCTAATCTTCCTGTATCTTTAACAGGTTATGCATATGTAATCACGAAGTTAGGTCCATTAACCTTTACCAGGAAAGGCCTATCTGTAGCAAGCACTGTTGCATGTTTGACTTTTACAGTAAGTTGCTCTCTGCATTTCTGCCTTTTCTTTTCATCTACTAGTGTTCGTAGACATTTAGTAGAACCATAACTTGTATGCTTCCAAAAACGACAGTATTTTTTTTTATGATTCTGACTTCTAAGAATTTGGTCTGTATTGAATTGGAAGGTATTTCAAAGTGCAAGTCTCTGCCTCACAACTACAACCCCTGAACAACTAGCATTTGCATTGCGATGGTTTATGCTCCCTCTGAAATACATAGGCGTTTCTGTATCAGAAATTGTGCTTACACTTTTACTGTCGTTGAGGTTTATCAGTCTTGTTTTTGATGAGGTAAGGAGAGTAAGGGGTTTTGCATACAAATATGAGTTTGATAAACGTAGCTCTGACCTGAATTTAATTAATACACAGCTTGATTTAATTTTTTTAAAGATATGTACCTTTCATGATTACTAAAACGATCACACACAGGCACATGAGGATGGGGTTGTTCTTCTGATAGATATGGCTGATCACTGAAGAAGTCTATTTTGTTGTTTTAGCTTGAGTAACATGTTTAAATCTGTCTAACCACCACTCTGTCATATTGCAAGAAATCAGGGTTTTGGATGTCTCTTTTTATATGAATGGTAATGAACTAGAAAACAGAAGCATTACTGGCTTTATTCGTGAATTGGATGCTCTTCATTGAAGAACTTGAGAAGCACAAAGAGATTAAATTTATGGATATTATGGGAAAGTAAACTGTTCTGTGAATGATTTCTTCCTGATTTCTACAATTTTGAAGTACATCTTAACCCGAATGAGATAATGTCTTGTTTAATAATGTTTTCAGTTATTACTGATTATTTGATTAGATTTAGCAAAGGCAGTAACTGTCTTTCAGAAAGGCTGGATAGTAGCAATTTAAAATAATATGGTGGGAAGGTTAGCTAGATATTAGACAAGTGCAATGCGTAACTAGATGATAGTAGTAAACATGTGAATCAATAAAACTTCTCTGACTATTGGAAGTAAAATTGGACATTCCATCAACAGTAGTCAACCACAGCTTATCCTATTCATTTTCCGTTACTGTACTCATTAAAATCCATTATTTAATGTTGTTTTGTTGCAGGTCCGGAACATTGCTTTGGGGATTGTATCTCGTAGGGTAAATTGGAAGCAGCTGACTGTTATGGAGACTATTGATGGTAAATATATATCGCTAACAGATATGTGCACCTCTATCTAAATGACAAAGAATTCCAAAAAAAACACGTTTTAGCATGCAGTTTAATCAGGATATTACTTGGTACTGGTAGGTAGTTTGTGTCGGAAACTTAGTTCTGAAAAGGACAAGCTGTTTTCAATTGTAATGCAGGTTTATGTCTAATGGATTTACAAAAGACTTAAAGCTTGTACTTGAAGATATTGCTTCATTGTCATGATTCTTTTCTTTTTTTCCTTGTATGATTTTGCAGTTTTCTTTAACTACTTCCGGCGCATCTTCAAGAATATTTTCAGCCATGCAGAGCAAATTTCTCAGGTTTGTCTTAAATTTACAGTCTTCTGCTTTGTCAAAGCTTTTTTTGAAGTTCTTTTACTCTTATGTATTTGCAACCGGTTGTAGAACTGTTGAAAAACCAGATGATTTCGTTTTAAGTTCTTTAACCATTTTGAAGGTTTTACAGATTCATGTTTCGACAAAGTATTACTTTCAGTTCCAACATATGAAAATTTAAAACAGATAGAAATGTGTCCTTGTGTTTATTTCATAGTTTGAACTATATGTTGATTTCATTAAGGATGCCAAGTTAAAAGAAATACGTACTTTTTATTAAGTTAGCCTTATGCAATACTATCTAAATTTCCCTGGACCTCTTATGAACAGATTTGTCAACACTAATCTGCTGTTATCATTTTAGTCATCGTAAGAAATTTGAAGGTTGTCTTCTGATAGTTTAACATAAATACTGCAGGCTATGATAGTCAGAGGTTTTAAAGGGGACGGTGAAACTCATAAAATTTACTTCTTGTCAGAATCATCTTTTGGGGTGATAGATTTTATATGCTTGTTGTGCTTGACAATTGTCATAGGAGCTGCTCTTCTTTCTGAGTACTACCTTGTCTGACAATATGTGCCACTCCTGCATCTAAAAGAGCATTCTGTAGTGATGTTTGTTGGTATTTTCATCATTCACTTAATTTCTCATCTTTCAACTTGCATGAGAAAAATCATTAGAATCACTTGAATGTTCAAGGGAAAAACGGATTTCCGCAAATTTTGCACTTTTCTTAAGATGATATGAAGGGGACGATATGTTTCAATGGAAGAGATCGAAAGATGAATTGAGGAAATTTTGGATGGCTTCTGAACCGTCAAATGTATTGAGCTATTTAGCATCATATTGTGGTCTTTGGAGCTACATTTCGCCTAGAATCCCTCTTACCCGCTGTTTGGGTTATAAAAGATTTTAAGAAGTAAAAAGAAGTAGAAGAGGAGAACAAATGAGTAGAAAATGAATAAATTTTTAAGATGTTTGATTAAGGAAATTAGGAAAGTAAGAGCATGTGCATTGGGGAAACCTTGGAGCGGTGCTTTCTTATTTAGTCCTTATTTTAATGTTGAAAATTTAAACGTTTATTTTTTTACTATTATAATTTTATACATCATGTATATAAACATCTAAAAAATTTACACTAAATCTCTCAGTTCTCTCATTTTTTGCTCAAAATCTTGCATGTCGCGGAAACCTTGGACGTGTGCTTGCTTATTAAGCTATTTTAATGTTAAAAATTTAAAGGCTTATTTTTTTTCTACTATAATTTTATATACCAACATGTATATGACAATTTTATTACACAATTAAATCTCTCAATTCTCTCATTTTTACTCAAATAATCTTACATGATTTCTTCTTTTGCTCACAGTCTCTCAAATCTATTTATTTATGTTTTACGTAGTGGAACCAAATCAAAAGCAATCCAATATGAATTCCTCTTAAATACAGTTGCCACGATTAACTATGACAATTATTAAAAACATAATCAATTGGAGGTTTGTTGTCATGGTTAATTGTAGCAGTAGCTCAAAAATGATTAATTGGTTTTAATTTTTAAAATAAATTTAGTAACTTTTGTGTTGAGATGCGGATACTTTAATAAAGGAGTAGAAAAAAAAAAATAAACTTGATTACATATTATAAAGACATGATTCTTCGTAATATAATTATATACTTATGGTTAAAATAATTTTTTACTTTACGTAATTTTACTTATTTTATTTTTTAGTCTCTATAATTTAAAATAGATTTTTTTAAAATTTTTCTACTTATTTTTTTTATCTCTTTTAGTCTTTATAGTTTAAGATAGATTTTTTTAAGTTTTTATACAATTTTTTAAAAAAATTTAGTCTCAATCGTTAATTTTTTGTGATGTTGTCTTTTTTATATTAATATATTAATATAGTTGAATTAATATTTCTATTATGTCAATATAAAAGAGACATTAAAAAAAATAACGATAAAAATAAAAATAAAAAATTATAAATATAAAAATTAAAAAATTATATTAAATTATAGAGATTAAAATGGATTAAAAAATATAAATGTAGAGACTAAACATATTTTTTTTAAACTATAGAAATTATAAAATATTAATGTATGAAACCATATTAAAAAAAACATTTTAACATATTTGTATTATATCCAAAAAAGCAAGGATGAACATGTTATTTAATTTTTAATGGACTACAATAATTTTTTTTTTCTCTTTCTGAAATTCTCCACAAAAGTGGGGTGTTT